GCTAATAGCACTTATCATCCGCCTTGAAGTAACAGATATGACGTTTCTTATAGATTTTATAGCTAATTTTGTTCATCTCAATGATCTTGCTAGCCGATTTTTAAGTACCTCACTCGCGGTGTCACTCCTAAATTTAAACTTCATATGCAACACTTTTTTAGCTACCTCGTCTCCCTATGTATTTCCTCTACGTAATTCGCTACTGACTTCCATGAAGTTTAGTGGATACCCTTTCTCTATGAAGGTTTCTTTCAATTGTTTGAATTCATTATTAACACTGTCTTGACTATAAAATTCTCTGAACCTGTGTTGAGAGAGATAACGGATAAAATTCTTCTATTTGTCCATTGGGATACAACTGTAAAAATTGGTCAATTTTCCTGTCCACGTCTATTTTCTGTAGATAAATTTTTTCAAAGATCCATCAGCTTTCCAGTGTAAGTAGCACATCATCGAAAGATATTTTCCCAGCAGTTTCTTTTTCTAAAGTGAACCGAATAGCAGAATTGCCATCATTGAATACTTTAAGGATGTCATCCAAATCTCAATTCTCTTCGCATATAATGAACGTGTTCTTCACACGTATCTTTTGTAAACGTTACTAACCATTTTGTATCAACGAGAAGGAGTTTTGCTCTCCATACTAGAACGAAAAGAAGTCTGCTAACAACGGAGCATATGGAAACCGCACTAGCTACCTCATTTGTCTATCTATAAACTTCTTTGCCGAAAAGAAATCGGACATTTAGCGTATATGGAAGTATGAGTTCATTTAGGTGTGATGTATGCATTTCTACGTTTACATTTACGTAAATCTTCGTAATTACAAATTAAGCATATGCTTTCATTTAATGGAACATTGGTAAACACCGAACATGCAGAAAGTGATAACATAGTTTTTTTTCCAATGACAAGAATAACATTCACGCAGTTAAGAAATTCAGAAGTGTTATATAAAGAATAGATATAGACTTGCCTAAACTATGAACTTAGAATCGGAAAATCGGTTTACAAATCATTCAGAAAAGAAACAAACAACATTGCTTGCTGTCACTTTAGCAATAAGCGGCCTACTTGAATCACTAGGCTACCTAAAATATTTTATTCATCAGAATGCATCACTTTTACTCCATTTCAGATCGTCCTAGTCTTCGAATTACCACAAACAGTCACAGTCTATACTCGAGCACAATATCAGGCAATTTTCTACCTTCAACTGGACATTTCTAGAAGGAAATCAAGAAACAATGTCGTGGAGTAGCACTTCGAATGAATTGATATTGCTTCAGATGATGTATTGTCGATTATTCTCCTATATGGAGGTTTTACACAGGGGGAATTACCTTGAAAATCCTGTATTACGTCAAATGCATTTCGACAGAATAAAGCTCCTATCATTATTCCAATTATTATTATTATTATGAACGGGAATATTCCCAATGGGAATAACTCTATTATGGATAAAATTTTATTTTGATGCAATCACACAATGTTGTAGAGTAATATTTACTGATGACCACATTTCAAGCACAGTTTATTACTGCTCATAATCATATCAAAGCATTACTCACTCACACAACTTTAGGAATATCAAAAAAAGTCAGAAAGCAAAATAAAAATAATGCGGAAACTAATAATGATAACATAAATAATAAAAAATATGGGGAATCTATAGTAGTTTTACCATATATGGAGGCGACATCTGAGACACTCCTCACCTAGGATTCTCAATACAGCAAGAATTAGGGTGGCATTCAAACCTACAAACTCACTCAGGGAGAACAGGCTCTGTAGGTTAAAGGACCCTATCGACCCAATTAGGCAAAATAATACAATTCACCACATACTTTGCAATGACTGTGAGCTAGGTCCAATACATAGGTCAAACTAGTAGATCAGGAGTAGTAGTGAGATTATCAGAACATAAGAATTTAGAATGATTGACCCCGCGAAGACAGATAATAATTTAGAAAAAAAAAAGCTCAGCAACTGCACTGCATACACTAACACACAACCACATAATAGCGTAGGTGAGACGGAGTCAAAATCCTCAAAAGTAATACGGGTAGGTGGAGAAAGAGAAAGATTGATTACTGAATCTTGATCCATCAAGTCTACACACCCAACACATGCAACAGAAATGACTCAATGCAAATACCAGAGATATGGAAGATATCACTACCACCAATCAAATCAGAGGGGAATAATAAATAATGTTAAAATGTATTCAATTCACATTATAACATTCTAACAAGTTACTTTATCTTATACTGATTTTATTCAAATATCTAATCATCAGTTTGTACTCATGCATAAAAATAATATGTTTATGAACAATAATTTATGTTCAAAACGTGGTCATCAGTAACAACACTGTGTGATCGCATCAAAATGAAATTGTATCCATTGAGAAGTCATACACCACCACGCTGTTCAAGTTTTATCCTTATCCCAATGGGAATGTTCGGTGGAGTTAAAATGTTGAGCTTTGAATATATCTGATTCATTCAAATCCCTAAACATGCCTGTATTTGTTAATTCTTAATGAGATACGACTGACTAACTGGTTTCAACATAGAACTCTGCACAATTGTGCAGCAGTTCGAGTAGCCACACTCCATGTAGCACACAAAGCAAGCGAAGAATGTAAAATGAAATGCGAAATAGAGACAGTAAACAGAGATATGAAGCAAAAGGAATAGTAATAATATTGAAGAACAACATAGTTTTATTGGATATTATAAGTCACAAGGAGTGGATGCATCTGCGCTAGCCATTGACAACGATGATTTTGAGCCATATCACTGATTGTCTCCAGCCTTCATTGGTTTTTTACCGTCCCGAGGACTCCAGCCAGTCAGGCAGTCTACACCTTCCTACTTGGCTAGCTCAAACTAGTTGTAATGCATTCCACCTACTGATGAAAGCACTTTTTGGTTTGACTACCATTGGTCCTATGTCAGTTAACATTGCCCGTTGTCGAAGAAGACAGTGGTTAGGCTAGCATGCGTGGCACATGTCCTAAACATCTCAATTGATTTAGCTTCACAGCCTCGTCGATTGATCTTCCCCTACCTCCTTACCTAGCACTCGACCAAAGCCTAACCTCCATATTGCTCGCCTTGTTATTCCACTTAACATGGGAAATATGATTTCAGTGTAAACTTACATAAAAAATATAAACAATAATGATTCATGTTCCAAGCGAAAAACTAATTCTTCTTTTACTTTTTATTTTAGTGAAATTTATTCGCCCCTTAACTATAACAAATAAAGAGGACTAAGGGGAAGAAATTGATTTGCAAGTTGATAGTAAGTTTAATACATCAAGATATTTCCTGAGGAAGTTGTTATTAAAAACAATACATTCTAACTAGTAATCTGAATAGTGGTCTGAACTCTGAACTTGACTTCCTGAGTTCAGTGTCAGTGCTTCCTGATTGGAAATGCAAAAATCTTCTTTTTTTAAAATGTATAATGGCAAGTTATCAAATAGTAATTAGTCATCGTAAAATTGTTAACTACACATTATTATTTCCCTTGGGTTTTGAGTGGAACATAAGAACTTAAACAGAACACTTCCAACTGGTCGTGTTCCCCGTAGTCTCCTTTAACTCACTGGCTACATAAATGCCCATAAGCTGTCATCTTATATATCGTCACACGATATTCCCCTATATCGCTTCCCAATCAGGTGCCACTCAACCGATAGCCTGACTGGCGTGTGATGTCTTTCAAAGGGCCTTGTCAGCGTGTTTCCCATCCATCTCTACTTACTTCCGAACATGTATCGATCAAAACGTTGCTGGTTGGTTTGTTCTCAGGGTTTCTTGTTGCTAATTCTTTCTAATTAGTCATCTGATCTTCAGTATGGAGTCAGTGAAAGCAGCATTTGATAAAAATCTCCAGCCAGCTGGTAATGCTTTCGATAAATGCCCATACCAATTCTCTGAAGCGTATAGAAGGAATAACTTGACAATAGCGTTGAAAAACTTAAGCATGCTCTTCACCTTGAGTGGAGTAGATTTCCACATTGATTTTAAATTCATGAAGATCCTACCTTTGACATCCTCATCAGTGTCGACAGTCTGTGGCTGAAATAATGCTTTTTAGATAAGTGGAAAGAAATGGCTACCTTCAAATTTCCCCCATTAACAGTATCTTGTGCCTATTGTTGCTGTTGCTGGTAGTAGTGGTTGGTCATCATCATCAACTCCACCTTCTCTATGTTCACCTGGAGTCCTATCATTGCCGTTTGCTTCTTCAGCCAGTTTGTTGGTTTTCTCCTGTAAGTTTTCAAGTTTATGTAACAACAGACATAAATCGTCCATGCGCGAAATCTAAGTCTTCTAGAGTCTTCGTGTCTACCTCACACATTCTTGTCCTCTCTCCCCTACTCCCACTGCAACGTACCTCATGATCCAATCGAATCAAATCAAGAAAATTATAAGTTATAACACGTCCCCTACACTTCGAAACAATTATTCTCAAAACAAAAAAACAACAACAGTTAGAGAACCACTGGAAAACCTGGCAGTAATGGACAGCTGTTTCGTCCTACTTTCAGACTCTTCATCAGTACACACCCACACCATATGGTTCGAACCACGACCTTCTGGTTACAAGGCGAACTCATAGGCCATTGAGCCACTGAGACCCGATCCAGTTGTCCTTGAATTTCAACTTCTGCCAGCTCATGACATAGCGCGACCATTTCGCAGAAGTTATAATTCAAGGACCATTGGATCGGGTCCCAGTGGCACAACGGTCTACGAGCTCGCCTTGTAACCAGAAGGTCCTGGGTTCGAACCCCGTGGCGTGGGTGTGTACTGCTGAAGGGTGTCAAACTAGGACGAAACAGTTGTCCAGTACTCACAGCTTCTTTTCCAGTGGTTCTCTAACCAATGTCAGCTCATGATGAAATTCTCCGGTCAATTAAAAACCAATACTTGGAAACAAAAGACAGACAAATAAGTAGAACAAAATGGGCAAAATCTTACCTATATTTTGTTGGTGGACTTGATACAGCTAAATCTTCTCTAAATCTTGCAACAATTTCAGTAATATTACGTTTTTGACTAATAATACTTCGATGAAATACATCCCACATATTATGTGGTCTTATTTCACTTCGTATAGATGATGCGGACGACGGCGACGATGATGATGATGATGAAAATGATGCAGTTGGCGGTGTATAAGAAGAACCTGTTGGCGAGTTGAGGAATTCATTTACATCTACATATGGATTAGGATCACCCATTAAAGGAGAAGAAGAAGATAAGGAATGCGATGTTGAAGATGACAGTAAAGATGATGTCGATATTGGTGATGCTGATGATGATGATGACGATGACAGTGTACCAACTCCAGCTGGCCATATCACTTGAACAAACTCGACATACGTATTTGATGGTATTTCACATCTAAAAAATAGATGAAACGTTTGAGGAATTTAACACATTCAAATATTTTAATGAATTATATACTTGAAAAATTCAAGCCATTAGATATGAAACACTTTCCAATCGCATTTAATGGTAGTACTCATGCAGCCATGTGAGGGCTTACGGAGAGTTGTCATCTGAAGTGTTGAAGAATAGTGGTGTCCGTCAGGGGTGTCCATTATCCCCATTTCTAGTCAATTTCATCATAGATAGTGCGTCGGTGGCACAGTGGTTAGGACTCTCGCCGACCATGCACATGGTCCGGGGTTCGAGCCCGAACCGACGCACACCTGATATCTATGGTCGGCCTGCAAAATTTGGGCTACCGATATCCATGCTGAAAATTCCATACTTGTACCAAAAATACAGTGTGGAATCAAGCTGTAAATCAAAAAAAAAAAGATGTACTAATGGACTTAACCCTAACTCACTACAGAGACTCAGGGACTGACTTGCTACCAGGGAATAATCTCGTTGACTTAGAATATGCAGACGATATAGTCCTTCTAGGCGAGGACGCTGACAAAATGCAGAGTCTTCTGAACACCTTGAGCTGCAATCTATGAATGTTTGGCATGCGATTCTCTCTCTTTGTGAAATGTAAGATGATGGTGAAGGACTGGACTACACTGACTCCTAGTTTAGAAGTAGGGGGTGAAGTGGTAGAGCACGTTGACCGCTTCACTAATTTGGGAAGTACTATCAGCCCCAACGAATCGATCTCTGACGAAATCTCAGCACGGATACAGAGGGCTAGTTTCACATATGCTAGTTTACGCCGTCTCTGGCGTAGACATGATATCCGGCTGGCTATTGACCAAAGGGCGGGTGTACTGCTTAGCAGTCCGCTCCGTCCTCCTTTATGGCCAGCTGTTATACCTGAGTGGAAGACTTGAAAAGCGTGGCTAGCTGTCTTTGATCATATGTGTCTGTGTTCCATCTCCCGTGTTAAGTGGTATAATAAGGTGAGGAATATTGAGGTGTTAAGTAAGGAGGTGAAATCAATCGACGAGGCTGTGAAATTACATCAACTAAGATGGTTAGGACATGTGCTACGCATACTAGCCCAGCCATCGTCTTCTTCGACGGGCAGTGTTAGCTGACATAAGGTCAGGCTAGAAAAGAGCTAGCGGAGGTCAAACCAAAACATGACTTCACCAATCAATGAAACCCACAACAGTCACTTAAAGCCAGCCACGTAGGAAGGTGTAGACTACCTGACTGTTTGGGGTGCTCGGTACGATAAAAACAAAAAACAATTGATGATATGGCTCAAAATCGTTCTCAATGGCTGGCGCAGATGCATCCACTCCTTTTGACTTATAATTTCCAATGAAACTATATTGTTCTTCGTTATTACTCTTCCTTGGTCTCACACCTCTGTTAACTGTCGCTATTATGCATCTCTTCTATCTTCTTCTCTTGCTCTGTGTGCTACATGGAGTGTGGTGACTTGAAACGCCGTACATTGGTGCAAAGTTCTATGTGGAAAACAGACAGACAGACATTTAATGGCGGTATGCAGCAAAAAGTGCCTTATTGGCAAGTTAATGAAGTGTAAATACTATTTGAAAAACAATTTATATACACACATGCAGGTTTGCTGCACATCAGAGTATAGAAAACCTGAAGGATTTTGTACCTTTTACCACTCATCAGCTAGGCGTATCTAGAATCTTGAAAGAATTGATGTCCCACCAGTTACGTCAGTTTAAATCTCTCAGAGGACGTCAGTTGCTTGAAAGTCGTTGATGCATCTTGCCGACAAACATCAACAAGCATACAATCAAATGATTGCTACCAATCACATAACATCATTTCAAAATTCACTGCGATAAGCAGTGACCATCTAACTTGGTGAACACATCAAGTTTTCGACTGTCAGGATTCAGTCAAACACGACTCTGATTACTCCCCACTGACCAGCTAATGATAGTTTTGAGTTGTTGTTTTTTTTTCTTTTAATTTTCAAGACTTAATTTCTAGGGATCTGATTTATTTCAAGTTTTGATCACATATTAATATCAATTGCAGAAGCGTTGCAAACTAACAGGGACTACTGGACAGCTGTTAGGGTTCAAACCCAAATTTTTTGGGTTACAAGTCAACCTTGTAGACCATTCACCAACTAGGACCTAACTAAATTACTATGGATTCTAACAACTACTAATTTGTGATATTAGCGTGACCATTAACCAATGTTATCGGCGAGTATTTGTCCTCTTTCCTGATCTGTTGGTGGACCCTACTGGTCGTGACTTCTCACTTCTCTAAAAAACTTCATCCTGAAGCCACTTACTAGCAGAATAGCAGTCCAATACTCCTAGATGGTTTTCAGTATCTCTTGAACAGATATGAATCCATAGTCAAACTTGAAAGAAATCGAATCTCTGCAAACTGACGCTTGAAAATATGAACAATTTGCCACATAATCTTAATAAACGTATATTTTATAAAGATTCACTTTATACTGTTAACTAACGGACTATTATTCTACCGTATACTTATGTGCCAATACACTTACTGATTTAATTTTCATTTACCTTTACTGATGGGCTATTTGTATTCTAATATCTTTGACTTAGAATATGCAGATGATATAGTCCTTCTAGACGAGGACGCTGATAAAATGCAGAGTCTTCTGAACACCTTGAGCTGCAATCTACGAATGACTGGCCTGCGATCTGCTTCCGCCAAATGTCACATGATGTTACAGAACTGTACTACACTGACTCCTAGTTTAGAAGTAGGGGGTGAAGTGGTAGAGCGTGCTGACCGCTTCACTTATTTGGGAAGTACTATCAGCCCCAACGAATCGATCTCTGACGAAATCTCAGTACGGATGCAGGGGGCTAGTTTCGCATAAGCTAGTTTACGCCGTCTCTGGCGTAGACATGATATCCGGCTGGCTATCGACTGCTTAGCAGTCCGCTCCATCCTCCTTTATGGCTGTGAGTGATAGATGGCCATTGAAAGTGGAATACATGAATAGCTTGGCCAGTTGTCTTTAATCAAAGGTGCCTGCGCTCTATCTCCCGTTTGAAGTGGTATAATAAGGTGAGCGATATTGAGGTTAGGAGTCGAATGCCAGGCAAGGATGCTGTGATGTTACAACGACTGAGATGGTTAGGACATGTGTTACACATGTTAGCCTAAACATCGTCTTTCTCGACAACGGGCAATGTTAGCTGACATAAGGTCAGGCTGAAAAAGAGATAGCGGCGGTCAAACCAAAACATGGAACCAGTCAGTGAAATCTACAACAGTTAGTTTAAGCTGGCCACTTAGGAAGATGTAGACTCCGTGGTTGGGGTACTTGGGACTGTAAATCGTTCCAAATGGCACATATGTATCCACTCCTTGTGACTTATGATTTCCAATGAAACTATATTGTTCTTCGTTATTACTCTTCCTTGGTCTAACTCCTCTGTTTACTGTCTCTATTAGGCATTTCTTCTACTTTCTTCTTTTGCTTTAGGTGCTACAAGGAGGGTGTGGCGACTTGAACTACCGCATATCGGTGCAAAGTACTGTGTCAAAAACAGTCAGACAGAATAGCTTTTTCTAATGGGATTCAGTCAGCACTAGCTTGTAGAGGATTGGAAACACGACAATAACTACACTGAAGTTAAGAATCAGGGATAGATTTTGCTGTTACCTGTTCTTCTGCAGTCTTCCAGATAATTTGGCTGATTTACTGTGATACATGTGTTTGCGTAGTTTTATTTACAGAAGAAAATTTTACTCACTGAAAGTAACAGAACCTTATTCGACATCCATATGACAATATCATGTGTCAGTTGATCCACACCGGAAAACTCAGCGAGGCGTTCTAAGTGAAGACACGAATAAAACAAGGCTACCTATTATTTTCAACGGTAATATTCCTAATTTTTGTGGAATAGATTATATTTGGAGACAGGAATATTTTGGACCGATAAGAAGACTCTAAAAGATCTTGATTTCACAGATGACTCATGCCTAATGTCACGCAAACTCGAAAACTTACAGGCAGGCTAAAATCAGAAAAACTAGTTAAATAAGCAACCAGCTAATAGAGGACTTCAAGTGAGCATAGAGAAAATGTAGTTGATGAAAATAGCCAACCACCAAGCAACAACAACAAAAACAAATAGCGTCAGTCATTTTCAACGGAATAAGTTTGAAAGGGATCACTTCCTTCACTTATAGAGGAAGTATCTTTTTGACTATATGGGTGACAATATTAATCCAGATGTCAAACCAAGAATAGAAGACGCGAGGCAGACAATCATCAGTCTGAAATTTGTTTGGAATTCTTCTGCACTCGTCATGAACAACAAAATCCAGAGTTTTCGAAGCAATGAGAAGTCAGTCCTTTCTTCTTCGTTGGCTGCATACTGAGTATCAGATGGCCAGTATCAAGAAGCTTTCAGAAAGAACCAATCAAGAACCTTTTGCCTAATAGTAAATATTTTGTAGAAAATGAAGATGTATAGGACACACTATCTATGATGAGATGGTTGAGTGAAATTACACTCCATATCATGACTCAGTTGGATCCCAGATCTCAAACAATGGCTTGGGCGTTGCTCCGAGGATGACAGAGTGGTAGTTGTATGAGACAGCAGAGGATGAGTGACTACATTCAATATCAGGAGCAGTTCAAAAGGACCTCAAAGGAATAGGAGAAATCGGAGATATCCTCCTGACGGTCAATGTTATTCAAGCTTGCGCTAAATATGTTGTTCAGAAGGACACGTAAAAATATTTTTCAATTAAACCATCCGACTCGGTGAGAAAAATCATACCGTAAAAGAGTTATTTCAAAGAATAATCAACTAAATAAACAGTGAACAGGAAAATTAACCCCCCTTGAGACTATTTCATCACATTTCATACATTCCATTCAAATGTATGCATGATGAACAGGGAAAAGAGGAAAACAAAACTCTATGAAACTAACCAATAAATATCATCTCCCTTTTAAATTGTATATT